ACAAAAATATAAAACATAAATACAACATCATAGCATTTGAATAAAGTCTTCCAAATTTGTCCACATAACTCACTGAAAAACAAAGTCGCCTTTTTGGAAATTTTCTTTTATATATTATTGTATTGAGTAAAACATGATAAATAAAAAAAAATAAAAAAATGTGTCCACATTCATATAATATAGTACATTTGCACTCGTATTGAGAGGGTATACATGCACTTATATATTTGTTCTAATAAAAAAACTGACATAATCTCTAAGGAGTCTACTGTTGAGTTGAGCATATGTATACACTATACAGGCACCCTTCCCTCAGGTAACAAACACCAACCACTGAACACTGAATACCACTTGTGGGCGATGACATAATAATATAGCAGATGCATAGCAAGAGTGGTATGTCACCTATTGACTGGTAATTGAAATGTGCATCAAATAAATATGATGCATCAGGAATTTCAGACTGAATTTAGTTATTGATCAGATGTCATGTCAATTTATATATACCAAATATTCCCTTCGGGCTGCGGGAAATATACTGAGGGAAAGATGAACATGTATTCACCTCAATAGAATGGAATATTTGATTTATTATATCATTTGAATGTTCTACAAATTAAGGGTATTTCTTTTAACCATTTAATACATAGGTACAATACATGTGCTCATCAGAATAACCACTCTAACTACAGCCACTTTTAGATGCAAAATATTTCCATCTTTCATCCTCAAAAGTCACATGTGCAAGATGACTTGTGACATCACTGGTTTATAAACATCAAGAACATGGCAACGGATGCACAATTGTTAGGAGTACCCATGCTCATACCACAAATATAAGCTGTGACGTCATAACAATGATGTTTTGTTGCCGTTCGTATCCAAGTATTTTCTACAATATTGGTGTGACGTCATAACAAAAACATAACATCCGGGACTTTCTACCGTGGTATATACTCCGTGGTATACATCGTGGGATATACATTTGAAAACGAGGCTGCGACTGGAGACTGCAGGAAACAATGAAATACACCCTAATATTTTTAATCATGTGATCGGTTCTTATCCAATGAGAAAGCGAGAAACATTTCAATGATATAATAAATATATATATATACATTGTACTTAAATAAGCTAGCCCAGGTGAACACTCATATTATTGGCTACAGACCTCTAGATGAGTGCCTTATGTTGTACTTGTTGGTTCTTAACCCCTACATTTTACATCCTAACTTTGAAGAACAATGATTGTACATACCAGGGCTGCTCCTTTAAACAGGTCTGTCTTCCAGAGAAACTGTATTTTCTTATCCAATACAATGTGTTCATATTGCACATCAGGGTGAATAACATCGAATACAGCACATGCTCCACCTATATAAAGATATACATACATGTGTTACACAGTAATTTTAGATGTAAGAAAACAAGTAAATAAGTATTGTCACATGGTGTCATGACCTTATATTTTGACAACAAAAAATTTCAGTTCAGATAATAGGCAGATTTTACTTGTCAAAGAACAGACAGGGACAGACAGAGTGAGATATTCTATGGATTTACCATATGAGCCAAAAAAGTCCATATCATATGAGCCAAAAAATTCCATAGAATGAAGTCTCTGCTATTATACAGGTATACTTATGACTAATTTTTTATCTGTACATTAAAGAGAAATATTTTGCTGTACCGCAAAAGCTCTATAAAGTACACAGCATGGCACTTACTGATCTCTTCAGGTTTACAATGTAAACGTGTTTGCTTTACTGATAGTAAAGATTGCCTGAGATTCCTCAACTCCAGAATGAGGCTGTAGTCATGGAGACCATATTCCTTGTCTACATCATCGAGTATCGGTTTGTGGGGTGGTAGCATGTATGACCTAAATGATAAAAATACTACTACTTTAACGTGCCATTATATGTGACAAGTTAATGTGACACAAAATTTGATTACTTCAGGGGTTTCATTAGCACCAGGCAACAGACGATTTTCCCTGGTTGTTTCCACAAAATCGCCTGTTGTTTTTATGGACTTTCAACTTTTCCATGTTAAATTTATGATTTCCATTAATTTTGCCTGTTGTTTTCATTTATTTAACCTGTTGTGAGAAATTCTAGTGAAACCCCTGCTACTTTATTAATCAGACAAAAAATAAAACTAGTAAATGAATAAATAAGTTACCTTGTAGCAGAGGCTTCGATACATCGAGGGATTAACATATGGTGATGTAGGCAGGTGCTTATGAATGCTATACCACCATCATTCTGCAATATACAAAAAATATAAATTCAGTTTACTATCATTCTACAATATAAAACAATACATGTTACATCACAATCAATCTGCACTACACAATGATACATCATTACTATCATTCTGCAATATAAATATGTACATTTTCATCATAATTCTGAAATATACACCTTCATTTCTTAAAGGCCCACTTTGGGAATTTTCAACATTTGGGCAAAATAAAGACTTACATTTAAATTTCATAGTATGTCTAATGTATTGATAAGAACCTTATCTTTCATTTGACACCAACAACAGCTCAAATGGACCACATCAAAGCTTACAATAAATTATCAAACTAGACAACAGCAACGCCAAAGCGTAGCAAATCCCATTGAACAGCCATGGTTGGCATATTTACAAACAAAGTATATAGCAAAAATGGCAGCCATTTTTCAAAATGACAACCTTCTACCAAAAGTGACATTAGACAGTGTGCCATGCTTAGTATTCACATACCAAATATGAACAGAATCGCTCCACTACTTTTGTAAAATATGTTAAAATGGCGGTCATTTTTCAAAATGGCCGTCTTCTACCAAAAGTGTCATTAGACAGTGTTCCATGCTAAGAGTATTCACATGCCAAATATGAACAAAATCGCTCCACTACTTTTCGAGTTATAGTAAAGAACATAAAATAACGAGTAAAGGCGGCCATTTTTCAAGATGGCTGCCATGTGTTTCTTAAATATCTACATTTCTAGCTTTATTAATGTCCTATATAATTTGTTTACATTTAAAACATATTGCTATTACAGTTTTACATATTGCACCTAAATTACTGTAAAATCGGCACTAAAATGGCCACCATTTTTAAATGAGCGGCCATTTTGAAAATCGGCTTTCGAGCAGGACTTCTACTCCCATAGGGTATATGTGTACAAAATATGAACAAAATAGGGCCAACGGTATTTGAGTTATTGCCCGGACGGATGGACTGACGGACGGATGGATGTACATACGGACGGACGGAGGCATTCCCTATATCCCTCCGAACTTTGTTCGATGGGGTAAAAATATTTTCGATCTGTCAAGCTTTACATATCAAGTTTTTATCAATGTCATTGAAAGATGGCAAAGTTGTTTGTATTACATGAAACATTCATTTTTATAGAAGTGTCGCCATCTTTTAAATCAATAGTAATTTAAAATATGGACTTTGTTATAACATGTGCATGCATGTCTTATGATCTCTGAACTTCAAGTGCTTTTTTCTATGCGAGTTATTTTTTTCTTGGTTCAATATTCAAGCAAATCAATTTTTTGTAATATTTGAGCAAGTGTGTGAGTAACATGTTTCAATGATTATTTTATTATTTTTTCTTCTAAATTAAGTATAGTGCGTCTTTAATGTACAATAATGCAAAATCACCATCATAATGCAATAATTACAACAATGTTATATCACCATCATTCTACGTATTACAACAAGGTAATACTACAATCATGCTGCAATATACCGAAACATAAATACCATGATCATTCTGCAATATACAAAAATATAGCCCCACATGATGTGGGGGTATAACAATGTACATCACCATCATTATGCAATATATACAATGAGAAATCATTTTATCAGATTACTTTATTCGCAAGTAACATTATATTGAACATTTTGTCGGATCAAAGAAAGTAAAAATAAGATCATGTTGTCCCAAACTAAGTTGTTTGTTTGCTTGAATTATAAACTCAAGGTTATCAATGAAAGCAAATTCATCCTTTGTGACATTGAAACCTGAGAAAGAGATACAGATTGGGATGTTTTTAAAATAGATGGTAAATAATGGCAAACATAGGACTGATTCTATTGGTTGAAACGCAATCATGTTTATCTCATACTTAAACCGTTTCAAAGAAATCTGCTAAAAATAAATGTACTGAATATAAATCATTGTAATGCTTGAGCTGTGTGTTTCAATGAATGTCACATTAGGTGAAATAATCCATTTCTCAATTTGACACAAGATCACAGCAACACCCTTGAGTAGCAGACCCCAATACTTCAGATCAAGCAGTAATGGGTGCTAATTTGAATGTTTCTAAAATGAGTGATGCCCTTGGGTGATTATCATAGAAGTTATCTGGTTGGTATGAGTCAAGTACTGTACATTCGGTCAATCTAAGATATAGATCAATGATCTTTATTGTGTTGCAAAACCAAGAGTCCTAGACTTCCACAAACCGCAAACGTGGTCTGACCTCGCTATCCTCATTCCTTCCCTTCGAACCATGCTCTCCAACGCAAATATTGATTCTTTAGTTGCAAACCAGGACTTTCTTTCTCCCTAACTTATTTCTCCACTATTTCTGTGGTTTGTGACTGGAGAAAGGAACTGGTGGTTTGCGACAGAATTGATATTTGAGTTGTGAGAATGTGGTTCGGGAGGAAGGAACATGGATAGTGAGGTCAGAACCCTGAAGAACATACATGTAAGTACAATAACATATGGGCAAACCTGGGACCACTTGTATCATGTACACGCTCTACTGGGCTGGCTTACTTCATGAATAATATAATATAAAATCCTGGAATGTTCCTAATAAAGCTCAAGTAAATTTTCATTCTAGATTTGTATCATCTTCAAACAAATGAACACTAAGAAACAGAGATGAAGGGCCTCACAATATCCCAAAGCAACTTGGATAACCAGAGACCCCATAAATCTAAAGTAAATATAAATATCATGTAAAGCAAACAAGGTGAAACCAGGGTGGAAACTGAAAAGTTGTTTACAGGTTTTTGAATTAAAAACAACTTTAACATTGAAAGTTAACAAAAATCACACTGAATTCAAGAAGTACAAGTATTATTATAAAGAAACTGAAGATGAAGATGGAAAGCAAAGAAAAGATGTATTTGTTTTCCACTGCATTCTTTGCAGTTGTAGTTGCTATCATTTCATTGGTTTGCACGATGGTTTTATTCGTTGAATTGCAAAAACAAAACAGAGGGTCAATGCCAATACTAGAGAATGATGAATTTCTCAAAGTGAGAAATGAGCTATCTACTGTACAAGATGAGTTTTTCAAAATGAAGGAGAATTTCCTGAATGAAATCAAAGAGTTAAATATTCGTATTGGTACACTTGAAACAGAGGCACTGGTATGTATTAAAACATTATATTTACTTCAATATGTGATGCATAAACATGTCAACTGTCCAGACTGAAAAAGTTTTTGCATGACATAGACTCATAACCAAACAAATTAAGACCACTAACGCTCTACTAAAAAATGAAGACAATCAGGCTTGACAAATGATGTGACCCTGGGGTAGTGACTTTAGTATGAATAAAATGTTCCATGGTCTTGGAGCTTTGAATTGTGATAATGAATAATGAATATCTTCTTATCTAATGTTCTGTTTGGTTTAATACTCTGGTGTTTCCATTTTGGCACCTGTGCTTGCCTCGTAAATATATTTATCCATTTTTCTAAAATTATACAAATATATTCACTGCCCTCTATACTTTCTGATTTTTTCTAGCACTGGACCAACAAGGCTAATAATATGGATATAAATGAAGAATACAATGTCACACGTATAATAAGAGGAAAACGGGAGGCAACAGCAGCTGTTCAAGGTAAACAACACTTGTGTTATTATTAGAAGGCTAACAATCCAAATATTAGGAATACCAATCGTGATCTGATTTAACATAACACCTCTTTTTCAGCTGGAAATATATATGGTCGTGATGGCAGAGATGGACGAATGGGACCATCTGGCCCACCCGGACCACAAGGGAAATCAGGACCCCAAGGACCACCTGGACCACAAGGACTAGCAGGAAGGGATGGGAGAGATGTGAGTAATCAATTTACTTGTATTAGGGTTTAATGTTGGAATGTTTAAAAAGTCCAAATTCTCATCAATTGTTTGTCTATAAGGGAATGCTAGTAATAATTATTGTAAGCCAGCCATCATGAAGGTGTTAGATGGACTGATCAAACAAATAATGAAAGGAACACATTGTTCTTGTTTAGTGAGGCTACCTGGCTGTCAGTAAAAAATAAATGTAGGCGCATCAAAATATAAATAAAAACTGACTTCTAAAGAGAATCCTGATTGAATTTGAAAATGGCCTAATAATATATTATTTAGGGAAACAGTGGCCAGAGTCAATGGGCCAATGATATAAGTCGTTTACTGGAGCAGCTCCACCATGATGTTACCAACAAAAGTAGGTCTTCTGGTATACAAAGTCCCCCAGGTCAACCTGGTCACTCTAATGGGGGTGCAGTGTATGTGAGATGGGGAAGGACAACCTGCCCAGATACAACTGAGAATGTCTACTCAGGTAAATGTATGAGCAACTTACTGGCTAAAAAGATACATGTAAATGTATTGTGTCAAATATAACTGCCAGAAGATACCTTATTAACTACTGATAGCGTTAATTAATGGATTATACTCTAAGGATAAGAACATTATAATGATGGTTTACAACTAGAAATATATCACACACTATTATCTTTCCTTTGAAGGTATAATGGGTAAATCACACTATACACACACAGGATCAGGAGGCAACTATCTTTGTCTACCCAGGGAACCTGAGTGGGGGAAGACCACAGCTGGTGAACAGTCTGGGGCATTTATTTATGGAGTTGAGTATCAAGTCAGTAACAGTAACAACCCATTTCTCACTGACAATTTTCCTGACCCAACCAAACCAGCTACTTGGCTACATAACCATGATGCGGTGTGTGCAGTTTGCAGGGTACCAGATAGGAGCAGCCACTTTATGCTCCCTGCAATGAAAACATGCCCTGATTCATGGACCAAGGAATACAATGGTTACCTAATGAGTCAACATTACACTCACCAACATTCTGAGTTTATTTGCATTGATGAAGCACCTGAAGCTGATGCAGCAGGTCATGAGGACAAGGATGGAGGCCTGCTGTATGTGGTGGAAGCCAAGTGTGGCTCCTTACCCTGCCCTAGCTATCAACACCACATGGAACTAACATGTGCTGTTTGTACCAAATAGTAACACATGCAGCCGAAGACAGTTTTCTCTATATAACATCTTCAAAACTGACTTACACATAAGCCCTTGGCATTTGCTATAATGCACAGTTAAATGTGCAATACATAGATAATGTACAAGTACACAGAACACACAACTCAAAGCTGAAGGTATCAAAGTGATACATAGGCAGCTACTTTATCCAAGTGAGGACTTCACATTGTTAAAAAAATGAATTTGGAATTTTCCATATCTGTATCCAAGATAATATCCAGGAATACATATAGATATAACTCTGACTTATTCATTACTTCAGTGAGTGATGTCATCAGGATGAAAATGAGTTATATGTACAGCTGTATAGCAAACATAAAACTAAAATTGTGCCAGTCACAAAATCACTGATAAATTATTTGTTACTTCACTGGTGGATCCAGAAGCTAACAAGGGAGCCAAAATCGAATCATAAAAAAACTTGTGCCCCTAAATCCAAAAACTGGCCCCAAATTTTGAAAATTTAAGGCCCATTTTTAAGGCCAAGTAATGCCCAAAATTGCCCCTTAATTGAGGCCCTAAAAATTTTTGGGCCCAAATATTTCTTTCTGTGCCCAGGCCAGATGCCCCCACCCCCTGGATCCGCCAGTGCACTTATAGCTACTAAGATTACTGGGGTGTGTTCAGTTGGTTAAGTTGTGAAATACTTTTCTGAGATCAGTGTCACCAGGATCTGTACATAAGTCTCAGTTAATAAAATTCTAATCAAACAATCGACTTTAGCCAACTGTAAATGTTACCTAAAAATTAATCAATGCGATTGTCTCTACATGTATATTAATACAAACAGACTGTTGACACAGATTATTCCAAAACATAAGAGTCATTTATTATAATATCACCCCCAAGAATAAAAGTATTTTTAGTCCATTTGTCACCCCTATACATCCAATAGTGAACCTAGAAATTGTTAAAAGTACGATGTTTTATGGTCGATTTATGATAATAAGGGTTTTCTGAAGTGATTTAACTTGGTTGCCGAAAAAGTTTGTTTGGGGAAAAAATTATATAGGCTGATTAGGGAGGGATGCAATCACTTAACATGGCGTTGACTATTGACTTAGCGTTGGGATACCACCATTTACCTGGTATGTTACCATGGTAATAGATACAAAATTTTTCCCCAAAGTTATTTTTTTGGCAACCCAGCTAAATCACTCCAATAATCCCTAATGATAGTATTTACACAGAAAAACATCATACTTTTAAATATTCATACGTTCAGAAAATGACAAATGGACTATTTGCATCAAATACAAATGTAGAGTATATGCGAAAATAATCTTATTTTAAAATTGCATGTAAAGGGATTTCCAAAAAGGAGTGAAAGAATCGCAAAAAGTGCATGAGAAGGTGATAATCTTTGACTTCTTGTACCCTCTATAAAAAATGTACAAAAATAGTCAGTACTGTGTAATCAAATCAAGCAGTTTTGTAGAATACTTTTGTTGCATGAATATATTCCCAGGTAGCTAAGGGTCTATTAAGGACTTCCTTAATTTAGCATGCATTTGGATAGATTAAATATAGGGGGTGTATAGGGGATCTTAAAAGTTCAAATGCAATATTTTTCCATTTATACCATAATCAATATTGTGTTACCCTTGTTATATCATATGCAATATTTTCACATCTCTTATACGACATAAACAGGGTGTCCATAAAGTATTTTTACAATTACAATACAAAGTCTGTGTAAAGTGTAAAGAGACTTTATGAACCCCCTTTATACGCTTATACACATATATAGAGGTTATTCAGGCCCGTAGCCAGGATTTGCCAAGGGGGGGTTCAGTTTTCAAAAATTTCCAGGGGGTTCACATTTGACAATTTTGGCCCAAATATGCCTAAAATCACTTGAAAAGTGCTCAAAATGGTGAAAAACTGCATGACAAAAATCGTATTGGAGCGTATTACATGGAAAAATCGTATTGTCCCCGGGACAAAAATCATATTGGAACGTATTAACCTATTTTTGGTTTTCCCGGTTATTTTTAACCTTGACTAATTGATAAAAGCATTATCCAAATGTAACATTTTAAGGAGGAATGTATTATGGAATAAATAGGTTATTTCTGGTCGGGATTGAATATGGGTTTTATTCCTCGGAAAATATGATATTGACCTTGGGAAATATGATATTGACACTCGGTCGCTGCGCTCCCTCGGTCAATATCATATTGTCCCTCGGAATAAAACCCATATTCAATCCCTCCCAGTAAATAACCTATATGTATATCACCCGCTCACTTTAGATATCAATTATATTCCTGCATGTTAGTAACCTATAACACTATTAAGTATTGAATAAATGATTATATCTTGTATGTACATGTACAATACACTTAAAATCTCATTTCACTTTATCTATAAAAATTTGTTTGATGAAATAAATTATATTGAAAAAATCAAACTCCTAAAGCTAAAACTTACTTTAAATACTGCAATTAATAAAGTATCTGCCAGGAGGTAAAAGTGGCACATGCTGTCTCCGCCAATAGGCTTGAGACTTTCTAGCCATTTATTCCATGTGAACTTGCAACTCAGGAGAAGAGACCTGCGACAGGGGCTGGAATAAAAAAATCTTTAAGCCATGCATAATGCCATAAAAAAATATCACGGTGGTTAAAGGTGACAATGTTCAATCAATGCAGTGCAGGTTAGTCAGTAAAGACTAGCAGTATCTTATATTATAGGCTATTACTTTATACTTTTATACTTAACTGACAAAGAACCATTTGTTTCATTTGTAACTTGAAGGAAAGATGCCTGGGTATTATGTTAGCCATTACTATTGTGAATAAATATATTTTACAAAAATTAAAGGACCAATACCCTTGCTTATTTTTATCTGATGAAGAGAAGATCGGGTTCGCAGCATAAAGACTTAATTGTGTAATACGAGAAAGAGGCGGCCATTCTAGGCCATACCAGCGCACGGATAGAGACATCTGGTGGTGGAATGCATCACTATGCCACATCGTGTGTTCAACACCTGTAGAGTCCTTCAGCAATAAAATCCACTTAGTACCTAGACTCCTATAATGTAAAAATGTGAGGCATTTGTTAAAATAAAATACAGGGTGGTCCCAAAAACCCATGAAACAAGCTTTATCTTAATTATTTCCCGCATTAATGGGCTAGTATTCTCACATGGAAGATCTTAAATTTTTGTGGGTACCATAAAGGTCCCTCAGTCTTAAATCTTGCACACATTGCATGGCATCAACAGACATGCCTGATTAATGGATGACATGCTCAATCCATGCTCCATGGTTCTGGATAACTGCTGCAACATAAATGTTGAAGTTTTTCACTCCTCAAAAAAAATGCATAAGAATACAAAATGCCACTATATATGCTGGAGTGTAGCCCATTAATACAGATAATAACTGTGGTATAATTTGTTGCAGGGGTTCACTTTTTTGGACCACCCTGTATATGAATGTGCTGGTATATGATTACATGAAAGCAAGGGGATACAACAGAACTATATAATACTATGGGTAAAGCCAGAAAGCCAGGGCAAGTGAAATAAATGCCTTACTAAAATTTTCTAGAAATATATTTATTCAGACATTTTGTTAACTAAAATTGTGGAAATATACAGGAATAACAGAGGTACTCAAATAGGAGTACTGAGTACTTCTAAATAAAAATAAAGATGAACTTACTCTAAAGCCTGTGTGGTCAGTTTGGGTAGACCTGTATATGGACTTAGCTTCTTGAGCATTGCAATTGCCTTCTTTGATCTGCTCTGACCACACCTACAATACAAGACAGACATTGTGAATAAGTTAAACCTCACAATAAACTATTTTATTTATTTAGTACAGTGCTTACAATGTAAGACTGTATTTTTGATTGAGACTTTCAACCCCCAAAATCTTTGGTGCTCATGGGTCTTTGATTTATATAGAATAAAATTGCAATGAGATGTCATCTGATTTCACTCATACCTTTGCATGCATTGGTGTTTCCAGTAGCCAGGTTCTTTAAACTGGGTTGATGCATTCACACACTTATCCCCATTGCTGCTTCCTGTCTTTTTGTTATTCGCCACATAGCGTTCGTATATGGGTAACCATAAGACACTGGAAATAAAAGTATATCATATACAGAGTTACACAAAAATGCCACCCTATACATTGAACAGAAAATAGTCCTGAAATACCAAAGTGCATGCATACATGTACTGTAGCTCACTTAATCAATGTATGTACATCTAATTATCATTATATCACCCTATCCGAATAATAATGTCCCAACTCACATTTTTGAAATTGAATTGTCCTATCTCCACTTTTAATATGCTCAAAAAATGTTTTAGAAATCTTGAAATCCTTAATGTATTTACACATATTTGTGACAAAAAAATAATGGAAAATCTCATACATGACAGATGGATACTATTGACGTTACAGGAGTTACAAAAATTGATTTCTCAGTTTCACAAAATGTGAGTTGGGACATTACATATTATTCTGATGGAACGAAATGTACTGTATACCGTATGTGCCAAATTTTCATGGAAAAAGATGAAACTTTGAAATCATCAGATTTCTTAATCAACTTGACAAAAAACATTGGTTGTAGCTTATGGTTTCTCTGTATTTCCAACATAATGGCAACTTGAAGAAGATACAAACAAAAGCCAAGAATACTTAATACTAACTTATCTGCAGTTAGTGTCAGCCAACGTTTTGAAATGGTGCATGCCAAAAGTAGGTCGGTTGGCCCTAGATACTGGAATATCTGAAGTAGAATTTCATCAGGTAAACTGGAAATAAAATATGAAATAAATTAACTTCATGAAAATCGCCAAAATTGTTCAGGTTAATCCATATGATGAGAATTTTCAAAATTTGCTTTAATAGCAATTAAATACTAATTAATCTTAATCACGATTAAGTCAAAATTAAGAAATAAAACTTTGTACTTGTTCAGTGACTTGATAGAATTCTTTGTTGTATTCACAGCAGGAAATTGTTTTGTTCTCTTGATATATGCAGCACTGTTTTTTGTTCCTGGGGATGGCATAGCATTGTGTTTTGTTCCTGGGGATTGCATAGCATTTTGTTTTGGTCCTGGAGGTTCTGAAGCATTGTGTTTTGGTCCTGGGGATTGTGAAGCATTATGTTTTGGTACTGGGGATTGTGCAACATAATGTTTTGGTCCCTGTGCTGCTCTGTTTTTATCCTCTAACCTATTTGGGATTTGAACAGAAGCTTTGTTGCTCTTTGCGCTAGTTTGAGATCTGAAATCAAATATCATGGTTTGAAATGCTTACAATGAATCATATACAATGCAAATTTTAACAATTTTCAGGGGGTGAACCCTCAAACTCCCCCCTTTTTTGGGCTCGCTTCTTCACAGTGCTACTAACCCAAAAATTGCACCCTCCCTTGACAATACCTGGCTACGCCTCTGAGTGGAACATTTTTATGTGTTAAATTCAGCCTTTCATGCACTTTCTGTCACCAAAATTTTGAAAAGTTGAGTTATGCAAAAAATGTTTACTCTCATTTTGTCTTTGATTTTGTAATTTGAAGTGTTTACAAAAAAATCTGACCAGGCATGGTATGGTGGTTATGTGGAAATCAACCTTGGAGGGAGGAGGGGTGGAAAATTAGACAGACCCCAATAGATGATGCTGCTGACTCTGATGGTTGCGGGAGGTGGAAGCCTATACAATGTCATGTATGTTGGTCAGTGGCGGATCCAGGAGGGGGGGGGGGGTCACCAGGGGCTTCCACCTCTCGTGGCTATCACAGTCAGCAGCATCATCTTTCTATCTTGCGCTCACTCGATGCGGTATGTTTGAAATAAGATACGGGGTGTCCAAAAAAACAGGACCGTAAGAAAGTTGAATAACTCGGTCAATTTTGCATATTTTGCCTTGAAATTTCAGAATTATTTAGTTCATTCAATGTGAATTTTGTTGTGAAAGTTTGATAATAATCTACCAATTGAGTCAAAAAAACTACAGCTCCTTACAAAACATCCCCAAAATGTGCAAATCTTATCTCTATGCACAATTCAATCCGGCGAACAAAGCTGTTGATGATCCTCCTACACACATGTCTTTCTGAATGGACAAGTTTGTTCCAAGAACAATTGCTACTGGGGCTTACATCCTCCTGATGAAGTGTTACTGCATCCATTGCATTCTGAAAAATGCACTCCCTGGGTGGCAATGAGGAAACATGGAATCATCGGTCCCTTTTGGTTCGAAGGTGACTGGGGACTTGCTATCACCATGAACAAGGACCAGTAAGTTCTCCCCAAGTTTTGGAGGTCACTAAGCACCAGAAGGGACATCTAAGGAGATAATTGAGCAGTGGTTTCAACAAGCCAATACCACCCCAACACTGCAAATGATATGCTGAAATGGTTTAGGCAATGCTTTGGTGGTCAGCTCATCAGTTGCAGGATGCATTTGAGGATTTCTCAAAGTCAATGTGTATACCGACAGGCCCCTAACAATCTTATGAGGGCAATAACTACCCCAATATTTACCATCCACATTAATGTGTATAGGTAAGGGTCATTAACAACTTTGTTCGCAGGATTCGTTTGTGCATAGAGAGGAGAAGTGCCCACTTTGAGCATGTTTTGTAAAGGACTGTAGTTTTTGACACAATAAACATATTATCATCAAACTTTCAGAACAAAATTCACATTGAATGAACTAAATAATTCTAAATTTCAAGGCAAAATATGCAAAATTGACTGAGTTATTCAAATTTCTTACGGTCCTGTTTTTTTTGGACACCCTGTACATGTATTTCAGTGCTTTGAAACATTAAATATGCTTCTATATGCTCTGATATTGCTCAGAATGCACCAAATGATGCTCAATTTTCTGGCGGGAGGACCACCCTTTTCTTGGACTCATTTGCTGCATTCACTCGCTTACTCACAGCCATTATCAAGTGCCCCCACCTATCACAAAATTCTGAATCCACAGGCCCAGGAAGAAGATTTGAATCCCCCCACTCAGTGTATAATGTATGAACTAGAAATAAATTCATACATTACACAGTGAGTGGGGGGGGGGATTTAAATCTTCTTCCTGCATCCTGGGCCTGTGCCTGAATCAGTGGTTGCAGGCGATGGTACTCGTTATTGGTATAACACAAAAAACAATAGAAATGGCACGTAGATCTACAAAATATATAAATTGCACTAAAACAACCCGTCAATGTCCAGTCATACCCACATGATCTCTATTGCAAGACTTATGCCTGGCACAACTGTCACCATGTTATTCAGTGTTTTTAAGTTTTGCAAGGCTCCTGCCATGACCGTGGTAGTGTTATTGTGAAAGACTGGTATAACCATGACAATTAATGCTATATTATATTGCAAGGCCTGTCATAACTGTGGTAATGTTAAAGCTTTATATGACTGCGGCAATGGTTGTAAGGTGGTAATTACCGTGGTAATTTTAAAGCCTGATATGACAATCTTCACATTCTTGAATGAGATATAGAATTATAGTCTGTGGAAATGAATTATGAGTTAAACTAGTAGTAGTCTAGATTTACATATTTAAGGTAGTTAAATGATGACATTTTTCAGTACGGTACAGTGTATTCTAATGCTACTAAAGGTCATTTAATACAACCATTGTCAGGGTCACATCATGCTTTAACATTACCACAGTCATGACAGGCAGGCCTTGCAACCATTGTCACGGTCATATTAGGCTTAACATTACCAAGGTCATGACAGGCTTTGCAACCATTGTCACGGTCATATCAGGCTTTAACATTAGGCTTTAACATTTTCAGGCTTTAACACTACCAAGGTCATGACAGCCCTTGCAACCATTGTCACGGTCAAATTGGGTTTTAACACGAGGCATTTAACATTACCACAGTCATGACAGGGCTTGCAATATAGTACAGCATTATCACGGTCATATCGGGCTTAACATTACCGTCATATAAATCCGACCGTTGTATGCTGTTCTTAGATGTTCCTTGTTCTTATTTGGATATTTATTTTATATCATTTTCTTGGCATAATCGTTTATGCCAAAAAAAGAAATATCCAAATAAGAAAAATAACAATAAATAACAGCATACGACAGTCGGATTTTATTTGACTACAGTGGGGGGCATAAAGAATTACAAAACCTATGGAAATTACATGTTGTCGCATATGTAATAAACTCTTACCTCAGTGTATTCAGTGCTCTATTTTCTCCGTCATAGTAAGTCCAGATATAGTGGAATTTGTGTCCATAATGACAAATAAGAACTTAAAAATTTGATGTGGAATTCACATGTTAATGCCGACTCTTCAAATGTAGAGGTGATTTTGAAGCCAGATTACGCCGCAATGTGGGTTGGCTCCCAGAATGCAACATGACACGTGTCAGCTTTCAAAATGCCATTCCTCCGTTTTGAAATACGTCACGAATAAATAAGGTTACTTGATGTTACATTCTGGGAGTCAATCCTCCTTGGATCACAAACATGGCGATTCATGAAAACATTAGTCCGATTTGGTAGGGATTTATCCATCATTTGCAGGTATGAGGCTTTGGATTCATTTATTGTGCTACTTAAAGTGGATGGGAATTATTTTTCTACCACTTGGGAGAGTTTGATACATGAAACTTAGAATTTAGCTCATTGTGACAACTTTTGAGGGTTGAGATTTATTTTTGTCCCCTACTTTAGGTTATACAACTACAAGGCTTTCACGATAACACTACAACGGTCATGGCAGGACCCTTGCGCAACTTACAGCAAAACACTTAATGACATGGTGACGGTTGTGCCAGGCAAAAGTCTTGCAACAGATACTATAGGGTCTCGTCATATCCCGGGAGTCACACTCACTGATTCAATGAAGTGCAAAAGCAGATATTTTTTTTTTTTTACTAACTTCATGTTGTCGATTTTTGAGATTCAAATTATACTGACCTGTCGTTTATATCATCCTTGTTTATTGAGGTTTTATGAGATTTCAAGTATTTGGTTATCTGTTTCTTATGCAAAGGAGATGCCATATTCAGACTAAATACTCTAAAAGTTTAAGAAAATTCAACTTTCACTTCACATAATTTGTGTGTTTCTATAAACTAAGGTGGTCACTGAATCCCAAACTTTTTGAGAATGCACCATCAGATTTATTTTAATAGTCAATTTGAAATTTGTTCGGTCTATTGAAACTTCTATACTTAAATAAGGATTAAAAGTATTTTATTTACTTAGAGTCTAATTCAATAACAAAACAGCAAGAGAAAATTCAGATCAGAAATAAATCCCCGATATAATACAAAATAATGATTTCGATTTTAGTTTAACATTTAGTGGGAACCAGGTAATAGCGTCCAAAGTTTCAAAATGGCAGATGTACAAAAAGATTATATCGTGAATGGAGCCGATCCTAAGAGTATTCAAGACCTCACACAATATGTAAGTATGGTTCAACTTATCAGTTATCTATCCAAGAATACTTGGAATGAAAATTGAAGAATGCATTTTCCACATAGCTTCAATAATCACAAACAAAATTCTCAAAACCACTCATTTCCTGATTTGAATTTGAAAATCGTTGCCATGCAAAATTTTATAATTGAAATTTATATTTTTGCTAAAGACATAGAATGTTTATATGGAAATTTACATCGGTATTAATAGTAAGTGTATAAGGTATATGGTTTGATGTTTCTCCCTGTATCAATTGTATACTTTTTCATAGGTGAATAGTCTACAATCTTACTGTCTTTGAGAGCGAAGTTAAATTTTGAAATTTATGGCTCTCCCACTGCGCACTGGACAGCTGAAACACATACGTTAGTTAAAGTAGATAAGGAGTTTAATTAAAATAACATGGATATAAACAAACAAACAAACAAACAAGAAGAGTGACCTTTAAAACATGAATTGATGTGATCAGCAGTAGTGGTCGGACTCGCCTGAAAATCTCCACTCGAGTGGGCCATGAAAAACCACGATTATATTCGCGATTTGACTTAAGTTGAGTTACTTCCGGTTTCAGTTTCCCAAGTAGCGGCAGAATTCATCAATTTGATAAAGTCTTTCAAGTGCCTCTATACTTTTTATTGTCTAAATCGTATTGCACATCCCTTACCGGATAAATAGTGAAAACAAACTTCGTCAATCCAGAAACAGCGGTGGCGGTAGGCATATATTTTTGTGAGTCATCATGACTCAGGTAGTTTCAAAAAAGTGAGTCACAAGAAAAAAACTTGAGTCAAAGCTATAAAAGTGTTTTTCTTGAGTAAAAATGCATACAAAATGTAGAAACCACATACAAAATCTATTTTTTGATTTTGTGCATACCTTTTATTGTACTCTTTTAGCACATAACAACTAACAATTAATTAATTAGGCAATTGCAAGAAAAATGTCACTATTAATCATCTGATTATCTGGTCCAGCGAGTCATGGGTGTGAATGGAGTGGGAGAGGAGTTTCTCCCTGTGTGGAGTTACACAAATTGGGGTCAAAGCGTTTCATGTTGAAATTCAACATTTTTGCAATCATTCCAAAGTCTAAAACGGCAATATAAGACCGACCACAATACTGGGCATCATTTAAATTGAACACGGTAGAATCTTGTAATTATAGCTGATCAAATGAAACCGAAAGTAGATTTGTTCTCATACCTAATTTATCATCATTATTACCCCCCTTAATGTGCGATCGACTGGATTTTCATGTGCCCATTACCTATCTTCATAGGATCAGCTTCAGATCTAGTGAATCGAAGATCTTAACTTGAGGGAGTTAATTGAAAATACTTGGTGAAAACTTACGATAGATCGGTCACTGTGAGTACCATTGATAAACCTACTGCGCATTACATCTGCGCATGCTGATGAAGGGGACGGCTCAAGGAAACTTGCTAACTTAACAAGGAATTTTGCGAACTTGCGAAGGAAACTAAAGGTTCGTAAATCTAGTGTGTGAACATTCAAGGGAAGATTTTATACGGTAATTTAGATAAATATACGATCACTAAAATCCTTAGAAGGGAGTATGAAATTAATAAATTATTGTTCAATGTTATGTTCGTTTTATTGCATTTTTGATACGCCCCCTAGCAACATGCTTCACGAGATAAACAAATCGAGGGATCGATCAATGTTTTCAAGTTTATCATTGAATCTGAACACAGGGCTTTAAAAATTATATGAAATACCGAAATGAGAAAATGATCGGTAGGAAGGAGGCTCGATTGCGCTGAACGAAATGTTAGATTTCCGGAATTAGCAAAATTAAAAATTTGATCAATCACGTATTTTCACGTATAGGGATCAATTTAACCAAGTACCAAGCGGGGATTTTGCATGTGAAACAAACGTGCGTCAGAAAGACTCGGTAGACAATGAATATTTGCGTCAGAGTTGCAAAAATGTGAGTAAAAAACGTAAAAAATTGCGTTAACGCCACCTCTGAGAAAGTTCCAGGATGCACCGCGGTAGACAAATTTTAAAATTCCCGGCTGTTGGATATTCCCAGAATGCATCAAACCGGAAATGAAACTTTTGCATGAAAATAACGAAAGCAGAATAAAATCCAAGTATGTTTGTCCTCCGCACATGGCATTAAATAGAAAATAAGTTGTATTCTATACAGATTAAGCAGAACATTACAACTATAAGCATGGAAATTGTGAATAGCAGAGACGAATTGCGAGTCAAGGTAAGGTGAAAACGAGTGAAAAATATTTTTTTGGTAAAAATTTCAAATCGTGAGTTCAAGTTTTCAACTCGATCAATTGATTTTTAGGACAAATGCGAGTAAAACTCGAGTACACGAGTCAGTCTTCCAACCACTAATCAGCAGCTTTCGGTCTATTACTGTGGCCTACTTCAGTGGCATCCATCTCTGCAAGTATTGTAGCGCTGAAGTACTTTTTTGTTGATCAAGACTTGTAATTGTCGTCGAGTGAATGTTTTTTCTTCCCAATACCAAGTATGAAGGCATTTCTGGTAGTTAGGTCATTTGGGAAACCTCTGGAGATTTACGTAAATTAGCAAAAACTGCCATATTGGAATCGGAAAGGAAGAACATTCACTAAACAAACAATAACAAGTCTATAATGACAAAGAAGTACTCCAGTGCTCCAATACTTTCACAGATGGATGCCACTAATGTAGGACTCAGTTAAAGACCAAAAGTAAGCCGCTTATCACATTACTTTGTGTTTTAAAAGTCACTTTTATACAGCTGTACAGTACGCAGTGGGAAAGCTATTATATCAAATTATAGCTTTCGGAAGAAGTAATATAGATTTACAAGTTTAGGCAGAGAACCACATTGAAATAGGGGCTGTATGCTTATTTCAAAAGCTTTGTCTGATTCTGTTATAACAGCCTTCAGCTGGAAACAGTAAGCTGTTACATAATCATAAAATCTGAAACTGATGAGGTAGTTGACTGAAAAAAATCAAGTTTCCGTGAAATCATGGGCTTTCAATATTGAATGCCCATGTTGAAATTCCGTGAAAAAAATCAAATTCCATAAAAATGTGGTTTTTCTGCGGCGACCTGGAATCACAGAATTTTAGTATTTGTGATTAGTACCAAGCATATTTAAAAAGTCATTACTATTTTACATGAACACTCACATTTGACCCATTTTTATAGCACCAGCCTGTTGTTTAACACACACATTTTGATTAACAATTTTTGTCACTCATTTTGGAAAAATGTAGAGAATAATGATCGTGATTGAAGAAACATCGAATTCTATCCCTGGACATAGTATACTATATTTGTCTTTAATTTTGTGAGCGGTTTGATTTGGCGAATCAAAAAATTAAATAGTTGCCAAAATCCCTGGGAAGAATCCCGAAGAATCTTATGACCATATATGGTGTATCTATTAAAATATTGACATAAACAAAGTACTGCACGTGTATCCCTCAACATTCATGAGCTCTAGCCTGCTAACAAGGATATCTGATGTTTAAAAATAGATTTTGAATGGTGGAAGGACCTGGAGGTCGCAAATATTTGACCAGATTTATTGCTCCAAGGGTAGGGAAATTGACACATTTATTCGGCCCCAGGGTAAGGAATTAGACGGGCCCAATTTTTTTCAAATTCCCCATCCATGCCCGCGTGGTGGGATCTCAAGCAAACTTTTGAATTGTGCATAAATAGACACCAATATGTCTGATATCCAAAATCACCAAATTAAGTAGCGCTAAATGAAAGACAAATACAGTATAACCATCCATGAAATGATTATTCTCCATTATCTCAACCTTCTCTACTGTATGTTTGTATTGTAATTACATTTGAAACTTTTATTTCACTTTCAGGTACAGAACCTGCTGACGCAGATGCAAGACAAATTCCAGAACATGTCAGACCAGATTATCAACAGAAATATCCTTTTAAAAATCAATTTTAGTGATTAAATCTATTTGTTATAAAATATTTGTTAAAGGTTAAGTCTTTTGAGATTTGATGAAGAGTCAATTCTACCACCTTTATATTTTTTAATTTTTAAAAATCGGAAAAATTCAAGTTACAAATTATTTTCAAATCTCAAATTCAATAGTTGAATTTTAAAACCCAAAGCTAACTGATTTCTTAGTACAATCATATTATATTCAATATACTAGTAATTACAATGAACTATTGCATTTATTTGATCAATCTTAAATTATTATTAATCCACATTAAGCCCATTGTGTTCAGCAGCCTTAAAGTAGATAATCTGATCAGTAAATATATAAGCTTCTTAAATTCAGACTTGAATGTCTAACTGGCTAAAATCACATGATATTTGAGTGCAATTTTCGTGCTATACTATTAGTGAGAATAATAGTCTATTGATTAATAATTTATTGGAATATTTTGAGTGTTACCGGATTGTTGTTAATTAAATAAACAGAAATGTATTTATTTATTTATTTATAAATTAATAGCAACAATTTGTATTCATTACATGGATCTAATAAAAAGATTAGTGTCACACAGGCCCGTAGCCAGCTTTTTAAAAAAATCCACGGGGCTTCATTTTTGACAACCTTTACCCCAAAATGGCCAAATCACTTAAGGAGCTCAGCATGGTGAAAAACTGCATGATATTGAAAGAATTT